AACATTTGGATGCTGTGTAGTTGGGTTGGGTTGGGGGTGTGGTGGTGGGGTGGGTGGTTGAGTGGTTGAGTGGTTGGGTGGTTGAGTGGGACGAAAGAGAGTGATTGGGTGGAGAGAATAGGAACTGGTGATGAGAAGATTCAGCATGTGTTGAGTAAAATTCACAGCCCCATAGATGATAATGTTAATCAAGTTGAGAAAATCGTCTCACACCTCGGGCATTTTTGCTAAAACGTGGCTACCATCACACAAATCTAACCAACCATCGGGTATTAAAACCTGCCACTAGAACGAATTTGTCCATCAAATGAGCTTAGTTACGTTGGATATAGCCTGAGCACAGAACATACAAAGTGAAAAATGTTTATTGCTTGCGTTAGGACAGGCGTCTATCATGCTCTCGATAGTGAAATTGTCATTTGACTGGCTTGATGCCTTGTGTGCTCCACAAGCACAGTTATTGAGTGGGAGATCCTCATTCTCTTAACTATCGCAAGATGCCAAATTAGAGGATTTAGTAGTCGATTGTCAACGTACGAGTGCATGAACACATTTGGTATTGCAAGAGAATTGCAGTAAGTGGTATTTCAATTGTTGACAGAAAAGTCCCAAAGGATTTGCCATCACTCCAAGCAAACACTACAGGCTATTAAAGTGGAAGTAAGGTCTGACAAGGTGCCACATTGATAGCTGGAAAGAAAAGACAATAGCCACAGAATAGTAAGAGGAGAATGAGATAGAATGTTTGTCTTATTGTCTGGAGACCAGATGAATCTGTGAACACTGAGAGGTTTATTTGTGACACGATTCCACGTCCAATTGGAGAGTTTGTGTACTTCTCTTCCAATGACGATTGTTCATTCAAACTAATTCGATTCTTTTACTCTATAGAAAGAAAAGCCCAACGGCATCTCTCTCCATCGTCGTCAGTACTTCCTCGTGCTTCCCACCTGACAGAGTGAATGAACTAGCTCACGAAATAGATAAAAGCCAATCACGTTTCACACCCTTCAAATTAGTTTAATAGATGGTGCAGATACTCAGTGAAGAGGAACTAGAAGAGACCAGTTTTCATAGGCAAATATTACTGATATTGGTATAAATTGATGCAAACCTGAGTACGCGGAAAAATATGGAAGTAGGATTTCGATTTTGGAGGGTTATTTATCACCCTGACTCGTAGGTTGACTCTATCACACTCTTTGACTCCCACGTTGGCTTACACTATCATTCCCACAGTCAAGGAACAAAGAATGCAAAATTGGTCATCAGCCTTATCCATTCACATTTCAAACGCCTCTTGCAATTAGCCTAGATTGATAAGATCGTTGTGTTGGACGATCCATAGCAAGATCGGAATCACCTGTGAATAAATACTCCAACAATGCCACTTGGCTGCACCATAATCAATTTCATCGAACAATCGGTAAGTAATGGCAAATTGGTGTGGAATTAATATCAACGGATAGAAATTAACTCCCATCTTCACTAACTATTTTCACTCCTGATGACGAATCTGTAAATACATCAAAACTTACCTTGGACCAGAACTCAAAACATCCCTTACACTGCACAAGTGGAGAACGAATGTCTCCTGAAGTCGCCCTTGTTCTGCACCTCGGCTAAACAAGAATTAACCAATGGGCTTTGCTCTCCACTTCACTCAAATTGGGTATCATTTGATTTCGAAAACGCACATCCTCACCTACGTGCTATCGATGCCCTTGAATAAGCAAATACGCTGGGGGCGAGGGATGTGAGAGGGGTGGCGAGAGGGAGGGATAAAGGAAGGATGCAATCATGTATAACTTAAAAACGCTTCATTGACCTTTTGGCCATGTGCTGGAAAAGAGACAGCACTAACTAAGTGATTGAGTTCGTTCCTGTTACAAAATCGAAATACTTACTGTAATAACTAGAAAAAGTTTTCGGCCCAATGGTTCACTAATATTCGTGATCAAAGTACTTTACACTCCAAACTCCGTTCCTAAACGTCTGTTTGGAGACCATGGGAGAACTTCACCCATTTGCATGATTCAGGATCAACAAAGAGCTAATGTGCAAGCACGTAATACTTCACATCCTCACCTTCCTAGTGAATGAGATGGAACACGACACTCTGATGAGTTTAAGGAGTATAAAAGTGAAGGCTATCTAAGGCAGCTATAAGCAACAAGGTACCTCCAATCGTCCTTCTCTTCTTCGCGCCTTGGGCTCGTAAGTCAATTCTCTTACCATGCTAACGCCTTCACAACTTGCTGTGGTATATATTTTAAGCACGTTTGATTTGAACCATGTGCGCAGTACGCCGTTGAGGAAACAGAGGGTGGGAAAATTAAATTTTGAGCTCCATGCTCCGTCCCTCCTATTGGCCCAAATATAACGTTTTAATGCTACTATCTGTTTGTTCAGTAGACAGTTAGTAATCATATTGACTGAAGTTAGCAGTTTGGTCTGCATTTCGAAGAAGTGAAAGCAAAGTTGCAACCAGAAGCGTTCTCTCTGTATGAGGTGCCACATAAATATGTGACGGAACAACATTGGGATCTTTATTAGATGTGCTAAAGGTGTTCACGCGCACAACACTTTCCTCAAAATTTGAAACCCTTCTTCATGCAAATGAGTTGTGACAACGGGAAGAATGATGATTAGTTCTTAACGTATTCATGAAAGAGCATAATTTGTGGCATGTAATCTCAGTGTGGAAGGGGGTGAGGCCAATTGCGTTGGAGGTAGTGGGAGTTGAATATGTAATCTCCATGGACATTCAGTGTTTAAGGTTCGACGACAGCTCTTACGTATGATGTAAAGTTGAGTTACTTGGGCTGGACATGTGTTGAGGTGGAGCCACGTGAAGAGTGAATTGCGGTTGAGGGTTGAGGATGTGGAAGAGGAGAAAGAGGAGAAGTAGGTGGGTGCTTGAATTTGTTGTGGAAAATGAGGTATGATGATGCAGTGAACTTGTGACCACACACCTGGCACACGTAGGGCTTCTCACCAGTATGAAGGCGTTGGTGAGAAGTGCATGGGCTCATGGTTGGGATGCACTTGCGACAGCATTGGTAGACAAAATGATTCTCCCTCGAGTGGACTCTCAGATGGCGTGCGAGGAGGGATGGTCGGGTGAATTTCATGTTGCAACTTGGGCAGAATGTGCGGCACCTAGTGTGAACACTGGCGTGTTTTATGGTGTGTTAATGTGGGTTATGGGAGGGTGTGTTTCCTCGGAGATGGAGATAGGAGAAGTGGGTGAAGCGGTGGAAGCGTTGAGTAAGGAGGTGAATGTGGAGGTATTGATGGTGGTGGTGGTGGTGGTGGTGGCGGTGATGGAGAGTGTGAGATGCATCCTCCTGTGGAACTGAGGCATGTTGTGTGTTAGGTGAAGTTGAGGGTGTGGGTGATGGTAAGGTGGAGTTTGAGAAGAACCATAAGGGGTAGGGATGGGAAGGCGTGAGGAGGTAAAGGTCGTTAGTGGAATGAAAGATTGATTTGGGAGAAAGAGTATGAGGAATTTGAAGTTGAGTTGTGGGTGATTGAGTCTGAAGTAGAGGTAGTTGTGGTGATTGATTCAGTTGTGGAATATGCGGTCGAGGCCCTCGATCAGTGGAGGGTGGAATTCGAAGCTGATAATGGCAATGTCTGTGACACATATGCATGAGATAATTTTGGGAATGAAAGGCGGATTTGTGAAGAGAAGAAGAAGTAGGAGGTGTTGGTGGTGGTAACAAGAGAAAGAAAAGAGTGAAAAGAAGTGTGAGGAAGTGAAGAGAGGGAATTTGATTAAATGAGGGATGAGTTAGTAAGAAAGGAGAATGTAGATAACTGATGTGTCGAAGAAGGATGGGGGTAGAGAGAGGGACTAAAATCTTTGGAATCGTGTCCATTTTCGTCATCAATCTAGGAGAAGAGGAGCTTATGAATTCGGAGTAGATCCAAGGTATGATGTGAAGGAAGATTGGAAAAGAAATTAGATGGAAGAAAATTACAGTAAGGAGAAGAAGAAGCAGAATAAACATCTGGACAATGTGAAACAGCTTGCTGAAGCACAATCTACTTGGTTCTGTTTCAATGAGGTGATGATATCCTGAATAGTTCGTTATTGGACATCTAAGCGTTATACAGTGAGTTGCCAAGGCGCAATTAGCAAAACGTCAAAAAGCACATGTGTATGTACGTTACTCATTTGAAGATTTGTGACGAAATAGAGAGGCTGGTGTTAGAAACGTGTTTAGCAAGACCGATTTCCTCGAGTCACTAACGTTCATCTCCCACCAGTGACCCCCTCGTAGGACTCCAAACTACCGAGATTTTAGCTCCAATGTGGTTACGCCGAATAAGACATCTTTAGGACCTGGTCATGGTGCTCGATTCATAGATTCTGGCAAAGGAGAAAGCGCACGAGTATGTTGGCATTTTGGCAAGAATAGAATGGATGGAGGACGAAAAATGGAGGAAGTCGAAGAGTGGCGTGAGCCAAAGTGTATCAACAAACTGACAATGTGAGTGGTGAATAATGGGGGAGAGAAGAAAAAGTGGATAGTTGGAGGAGGATAGAGACTAAAGCACCAAGGCAAAACCATGGCTGCCAACTCATGAAAGTAGAACCACAAGACTGTAGGAATGCATTCTTCAATAGTAGTGGTTAAAAGTCTAGTGAGTGATCAATGTGAGGCGTGGAAATGGGACGACGAAGGGGTGTCGAATAAGGAGGCAGAGGAGGTAGGAGTGCAATATTCGATAAACTGCAAATGCGCACTCTGATTCGACAGTTTGATTAATCCCTCTGTTTCGCTTGAAATCGGCTCACACATTCATATGTACTGTCAATGAATATAGAACGCAAAATCGTTCAACAGCCTTATCGTACCTCATTCCACAGTTTCCATGCAATTCCCAATGGCCTCTCTTAGTACTGACGCCTTCAACATTGCTCCCACTTCCCCTTCTTCTCCTTTCTCACTTTTACCTCCCATGCATTCTCTCATTCATTCTAGCATTAACTCATCCGATCACTTCTTCATTCGTATATTCACCTTCAATAAGAATATTCACTCCTGATGACAAATCTTCAAATACATCAAAACACTCATTAGAACACAACTGAAACAATCCCTATTACTTCACCTTCAGGTGGTACTTTGGAATAGCAAATGTGAATCTCGCTTTCCCCCAAAACATCTCTAGTCTCTTGTGATTAGACGTTCAGTTAACCGGGTGCGCACTGGTGAGTGTCGCACGCGTGTCTTCCAGACGTGTAAATTTGCTGCTCCACCAGGTCTCCTGTTATCCCATTACTTACTCCCATGGCATTAATGATTTGGCTGTTATTGGAAGCAACTTGACCAGCGTACTTCACTCAGTTGAGTCTTCAGTGGTTGTCAAAGTGGCCTCTTTTCCACCCTAACTGAGTCACTTAAGAACATGCGAACCTATGATTGCTAATCACATCCGGCAGCCCTCCTCCAACAACGCCTACTCAATATGCCTCCAATTTTACTCTCCAACTTCTTGCCTTTTGATCACTTTCAAGAGCATAGAATGAACAATTTATCGGCGCCTTAAAGCTTGTGTAGCATGCATTAAACAGGTCATATGTTAAGCTTCGTATATTCAAGAGAACCGTTGAACCATAATTGGAGAGTGTCAACATCGTGCAACAAAGGCGAGGTAAAGGGAGCCTCAATTCATCCTGGTGGTAAAGGGCCCCAAAGTAGCCATTGCTTCCGATGAAGCTAACTGGGTGTTTGACCATGCCAGGCCGGATATCCCTTGATAAGAGCAACAGTCTTCTTAAGACTATGGTGTCATAGAAGCCTTAGACGAGCGAGAATACAGAGAATTGGATTGGACAGAAGTGTATTTGGCAATCGTAAATGAATTAGCGAAGGAGCGCATGAATGAATGAAAGAATGAGTGCAAGGAAGAATAAATGAATGGGAGAGAAAATTGGGAAGGAGAACGGAGAGTAAGTGGGAGAATTGTTGGAGGCGTCAGTACTAAGAGAGGTCAACGCGAAGTGATGGGTGTGAAATGTGTTTGAGTTTTATCTATTCCTTGAACTAGTGCATCCACTCTGTGAGGTTGGAAGTATGAGGAGGTACTGGCGACCATGAAGGGGGATGCTGTTGGGCTTTTCTTTCCAACTCACTTAATACTGCACATAGAAGGAACCAGTCCAAGGTCGAGTGCAATAGTTGAAATCAGGTGGTGCCAAGCTGGAAGTCGGGGTGGTAATAGGATGCATGCAAGTTAGAGGCAGGGCTTGTGAATGACGGGCATGTGCAAGTTTATGTTTTAAGGTAGAAACACACCATTTAGCCAGTCGAAACATAGTGCTTATTCTCACAAACTCCTGTGAATAAGATTAGTCTGTACATCAAGACGGATCAACGATTGCGACCCAACAACCACAGAGTAAAAGATTCCACTTAGTTTGAATAACAACTCGAAATTTCATGGGAGACAAGATCGCTCGTCATTGGATGAGAGGTACACAAACTCTCCAATTGGACGTGGAATCGTGTCACAAATAAACCTCTCAGTGTTCACAGATTCATCTGGTCTCCAGACAATAAGACAAACATTCTATCTCATTCTCCTCTTACTATTCTGTGGCTATTGTCTTTTCTTTCCAGCTATCAATGTGGCACCTTGTCAGACCTTACTTCCACTTTAATAGCCTGTAGTGTTTGCTTGGAGTGATGGCAAATCCTTTGGGACTTTTCTGTCAACAATTGAAATACCACTTACTGCAATTCTCTTGCAATACCAAATGTGTTCATGCACTCGTACGTTGACAATCGACTACTAAATCCTCTAATTTGGCATCTTGCGATAGT